GTTCAAACATTGTTACTGATGATGAACTTACATGCGGCATCGCTTGTCCATGAAGCTCTCAGGACGATCAGAGTAAGCACAAGAAACAAACTCAATGGTTTCACCGATAAAAGGCCATCCAAGAGTGCCTAATGGAAGTTTATTTATGTGTTTCGGTTTGAGTCTAATCCTTCTGTTCCTGTACACGACCATGATCACAGTGAACAAGAGAAATGTTGTCACAAACACAATCCATATGTTGTCCATAATTTTCCGCACGCAGACTCACTATAATAGGATTAGCTTTGGCTTAAATATTGGGAATCATATGGTAGCTATTACAATATATATATATAACAAAGTTTTTTGTGAAAGAATTGAGTGTGCATGTGTGTGTACGCGTGCAAGAAAGGGAGAGAAAGAGAAAGGTTTTATGAAGTCTGAGCTAAACTTCTGTGGTAGTGAGAATATTAATATTAATATATGCATTCATTGCATTGAGAAAAGCATAGATACGAGATTGCCCTTTTATTTTTGTACACATGAGTTTGCTTTGGAGCAGTCTGTTTGATATATTTTTTTAAGGTAAAGCTAAATTTTATTTTTTTTAAATAAAGTTAAAAGTTATTTCATAATTATATAAAAATTTTAGTTTAATAGTTATTAAAACTGTTCATTTAAAAAACTATTCATTTTAAAAAAAATTAATATAATTTAAAAACAGTTCCTATTATGAGTTTTTAACTTTTTTCTTTATTATAAACAAATATTATGTAAATTTTTTTATAAATATCTGTTTGGCCTAACTTTTATTTATAAGAAGATAAAATAAAATAAAAAATACCCCCAAACCCACCCCCCCCCCCCCCCCAACATGCACTTAAAGGGCCATTTGGATGGACTTGTAAAAAAAAGACTTTTATACCTTGTTTATTTTAGAAGTGTTTTTTACAAAAGTTAAAATTAATTTGATTTAAAAAAAAAAAGTTAGCTTTTTAAAAAAATATTTGACTTTTGACTTCTGTTGTTTTTAGAAGCTAAAATTTTTAGCTTCCAAATAAAGCAGGATTCAATATTTTTTATTTTTTCTAGAGCAGACATCCAAATAAATTTTATAATATAAGTACTTTTTTCTTAAAAAAAGCTTTTGGCTAAAAATAACTCATCGAAACGGCCCTTAGTCACTGTTGAGATATATAGTCCCACATTGGTTGTATGAGCAACTAATGTGGCCTTTATAAGGCTTTGGGCAATCCCACCCTTTGAGCTAGCTTTTGGGGTGGTGTATCCCAAGGTTCTTTACATGGTATCAGAGCCTCATCGTCCCCCGCTTTAAAAAGTGGAATTAAAATAAAAAAAAGCACAAAAAGGTAAACCAAAGATGGGCCTGTGCAATTTCCACGCTTCTAGCCTAAAGGGCTCTTGCGTGAGGGGGCGTGTTGAGATATATAGTCTCACATTGATTGAATGAGCAACTAATATGACCTTTATAAGGTCTTAGGCATTCCCACCCCTTGAGCTAGCTTTTGGGGTGGTGTATCCCAAGGTTCTTTACATGAGCATGTAGCTGATAACTTCCTTTAGTTAGTTACAATTCTGTTTTGGCTTACTGTATATATATATTAGGATGCCTTGTATCATATACACGATAATAATATACAATCTCAGATATTCATTCTTCTCTCTCTCTCTCTCTTTCCTTCTCTTCTTCTCTCATCTATGGCTTCTGCACTGTATTCGAATATGGTATCAGAGCTCTCATCTTGAGGGCCTGATCCATTTTTCGAGCTACGAACAAGCCAAAAGAGTTTTTATTGTTATCGTTGGACTTAATGTTGAGATATTCAAGTGTGATGAGTTTCACATTGGTTGGTAATGAGTTAAGTGAAAAGTATATAAGTGGAAGGACCCATGCACCCAAAGCCTTAATGTTTTGGGTTGAGAAGTGGTGTCGGTCGTGTCGGACTCACTTGGTGTATTTGGAGTAGCTTAGCCCATTGGTGGTGGTCCACGGGACAGGCTTTCCCTGGACCCGCATGATGGTGGTATCAGAGTTGGGTTGTGTTCGAGCTAGCCTGGTGATTGGCTAGGAGGCGAGTTAAGTGCTAGGGCCCTAGGGTACTCGGTTGAGGGGGGAGCATATCAATATTGGGTTTCACACTTGAGGGGAGATTGTTGAGATATTTAAGTGTGATGAATCTCACATTGGTTGGTAATGGGTTAAGTGAAGAGTATATAAGTGGAAGGACCCATGAACCCAAGCCTTAAGAATTTAGGTTGAGAAGTGGGTTGTGTTCGAGCTAGCCTGGTGATTGGCTAGGAGGCGAGTTGAGTGCTTGGGCTCTGGGGTACTCGGTTGAGGAGGAGCATATCAATGTTGGGTTTCACACTTGAGGGGAGATTGTTGAGATATTTAAGTGTGATGAATCTCACATTGGTTGGTAATGGGTTAAGTGAAGAGTATATAAGTGGAAAGACCCATGAACCCAAGCCTTAAAAATTTAGGTTGAGAAGCTGTGTCGGACTCACTTGATATATTTGGCTAGCTTACCCCGTTGATAGTGATCCCCCTTACGGACTTTCCCTAAACTCGCCTGACACTTAACAGTGTCAATAGTTTCACTCTCGATCGGGTTGGAAATATCCGGTTTTGAGAAATACTTGTATGGATGATTCTATCTAATACAAATTGGGTAAATACAATCTTACGTGGTTATTTAAATAAAATTATATTTTATGGTTGTTGATTGGTTTAGTCTAAGAGTGGTCTCATCAGTACTTTCATCTCAGTAAATAAATTATTATCTATATCATCACTACTTCCAAAATGGTTTGAGTCACTGCAAAGACCCACCATAGCCAGAGTTCATAAATAGGTACTAAGAAAAATGAAGCCAAAGCAATTCGCTGAATCAGGAGGGAAAGTCAATTTTGTTTTCTGCTCAGTCGCGAATCATTCACATTTGAGGCGGATTATATTTTGAAAATTAAGCTCGAATCGCATTATTAAAATGAAATGTGAGTAATTTATATATATATATATATATATATATATATATATATATAATGAGTTTTATAAGAGTTATGTTGTAGGAAAAACATTTGTGTAATGTTATAGAGATTCGTTTTGTGTTTCGTAATTTTCTTTTTTATCAAAAAGTGTGGGGCCCCGAAATGTTGTATGCGTAGGAAAGTTTGTTGTGTCATGTTAAATGACAAATGCAAACTCCGTATATGTATATAATATAGGTACTGTATGTTTCCAATTTTTTTTTTTTTTTTTTTGATAACAGTATGTTTCCAATTTAAACTGACGAACGATAGTGTTGCACCTTCAAACTGATACGAAAAGACACTATGTTTTTCATCATGATTAAGAGACGTAATATATTCGAGTAATATTACTTACACGTAATCTTACCGTTCCTATTTGTGTCGAGATGTTGGATTTCTATTCGTGTAGAGTTAGTAAACACCAATAAAAATTTGCGGTTCTGCACAGATGAATAACATTATTCAAATTTTAAAGCTAGTTAAGAGTACTATCTATATTTTGGGTCCCATCTCTTAACTTTTTTCTCTTCACTCTTCTTTCTCCTCTCTCCTCTTCATTGTAAAAATAGGAATTGTTATGTTATATCATGTAACATAATAATCCATTTACCGTATTTATATATATCTATACGAAGTCCCTCAGTTTTCACCCCGGTTTTGGCCGAGTAAGTTAATTTGCAGTGTTGGGTCAAATACTGGTTTCATTGGTTAAAGAATGTCAAATATAAGTCGAAGTAAGAGAACAAGCTTTTCAAATCTTGAGATAGTGAAATATGAAATGTTAGTATATGATTTTGTTTCATACAAATTAATAGGGAGAAGTACCCACTAGGGCATGATTATTCTTGATGCTCTGTGGATTAAGGCGTCCCCTCTTCCTTCTTTTGGCAGTGGGCTCGTGCCTTCATGTGAGACTCAATAAGTCCAATCACATTGCTCCATCATCATCATCATCCTCCCCCGTCTCAAAACTTTTGTCGTCCCCCCTCCTCTCTCTCTCTCTCCCCCTTCAAATTATGTCCCAATCCAATCTTCCTTCTAGCTCTCATGTTACCATCATTTCATCCTCACACTAACCCGTCAATTTCGGGATTTTATTTTCCTTGGGAGGTATCGGGAAGGAATTGGAATGTAAGAATCTCGATTCATACAGATACAGAAGAAAGGGTTCTCTATTGATTCAAACGCTATACCTACGAGATAGGGATAGAGAAAGAGGAAAAAACCGAAGATTTCACATAGTACTTTTGATCGAAAAATCCATCTGATTTATTTCGTACCGTTCGCTCAATGAGAAAATGGATAGCACATGTACCGTTCCTTCTCTTAACTAAAATTACTTGTCATTGATTATAGGAAAATATTATTCTTATGCAACATAAGATAATATCTCTTTTGGCCCCACTCATAATTGTTTCTATAGTAAGAGAGAACTACTCTCATATAACATGAGATTAATAAAGTCCTTGATTATATTAGAGAAATATAATATATAAAATTATTAATTTGCCATAACTTAGTAACTTAAGTTTTTAGATTAAATTAATTCTTTATATCTTATTTTGATGAGTGCCAAATATGTAAGAAAGCAGGTATTTAAGAGTCAACCATCCCTTTTCCAATGAGAAGATTCCGAATGCATACCCAACTTTGATTAAGCTTTTATAAACCTATGACTGTTGTCAATAGTTCCTATTTTTTCTTTTAATATCAATTTCACATTGGCCCATTTCTTGATCACCTATGTTTTTCTAATGCTAAACTCATCATCAGCTAGCTTTTACATCTTAATTTAAACTATCTAACCTTGATTCAAGCGTCTTATACTTTATTGTCATCACAACAACTGAGATTATTCATCACAGCTGGAAAATTACAAAATTGTTAGTCGTTTATTTTATTTTTTTTGTCACTTTTCTTTTATGCACGCTCCGCGAGCCATAAGAATGAAAAATAATGCGGTGATATAATTAAAACAAATGCATCTTCGCATCCTGCGAAATGAATTAGTGTGGTATGAACTATAAAGTATAAACAATTGTTTGACTGTAGATACAAGGCTTCTTCATGTTCTGTGGACATTTCAACCAAATAAATACGAAAAAAAAAAAGTCTAACAAAGAAGAAAACCAAATTCCTACCACTATTCTTACAAAAAGCTAATTTGACAATACAATGCGTCAGGTTGCAACATCAAGGACACCCATGATTTTTGGAATTCCATCAATCAGCTCCATGCGCGAGCACTGCCATAACCCTTCCCACGGTCTCGGAAGCCTCCTGAGTGATCGTTGAAGAAATATAAAGGAAAACTTCATAAATCAAAAGTGCATAGCAAATAAGGCAAGAATTCTACAAATGCAGCATTTATAAATTTGAACAAGCCTTCCATTAGAAACTATTTACATTCCAAGCATTCCGGATAGCTCCCTCTAAAGGCTGCCATTGGGTAAGTCGTAAAATAAAATTTTAGCCAGCAAGCCAGGTCAAAAGACCAATGACACAATAACTCCCTCTGGATTCAAGACATCCAAGCAAACTTAAGGTATACCCTTAAACCAAGAACCGATGGAAGGGGCAGGGGAACCAATGTATGTATTTGTATATGTATATACTAACCCAAGTTATATGCGGGTCCAGTTAAGTAACTAACCTGAAGGCGGAGGAGGTGCACCGCGCCCCATTGCTGCCAATTCAGGACTCACTCTCTGTCCAGCTTCCTCCAGTATGGTTATAAGTTCCTTTGCAAATCTGGCATTAGCAGCTGTGAAGAATGTGTATGCAGTTCCTTTAGCACCAGCTCTCCCAGTCCGACCAATGCGATGAACATAATCCTCAAGTGATCCCGGGAAGTCATAATTTATCACATACTTCACATCCTTTACATCTGTCAGTAACCAAATAATAGATCAAGACACACTGGCACAACTATTGGAGCAAGTTAAAAACAAGCACAAAAGACACCTTTGATGAAAAAAAAAAAATTCCCGCACACAGCATCATATTCTTTTTGGATATAAACTTTATATTGATATGTACAAAGGATCGAATTCAATGGTTTTAACCCATTAAAAATAGAACTTGAAGTCATCAGTTGTTAGGAACCCCTAATGGAAATGGAGAAAAGAAAAGGATGATTTTCTTGTTTGACTGAAATTTGAAGGAAAAAGGAGAGAAACCCTTAACAAAGGGCTTTCCGTTGCACAATAGAGCACTTGCTCGGTTCTCTCAAAATACAATTCCCTAAATGATCCCCCTACCTTACTTTCTCTTGTTTATTCATCTAAGTAAACCTCTCTAACTAACTACTGTCTCTTCCCTTTATTCTCCCAAGCAAATACCCTTCTCCTAAAACCGACTAGGATAAGGCTCCTCTAAAGTGAGCTTCCCTGTTAAGTGCACAAGAGTGTATCTATTCTTGATTTAATTTAAAGTATACTGTGATCTTAATTCACTAAAATCCAAGGGTGGCTACACCTTTACTTGTACACTTTGCAGAAAATCTTACCTTAGAGGAACTTTTTCTGACTGACTAATACATGATATAAGTAAGATTGAGTGGCAGAAGGCCTAACTTAAGAAGGAAAACAATTCATGTAGAGATTTATCCATCACAGAGAACACTGCCAATATGAACTGGGGCTGCATACATAAGAAAATTTAGGAAACAATCTCTTCACAAATATACAAGGGTAAGATTGTGTACAAGAATTATCCTCATCCCAATCCTCCCTGGTTGAGGTTTAACGGGGAGCTCTTTTTTTTTGCTTACAATGGCAAGGTCACCTAAGATTGCTTGGTAAGGAAAGAATAAATAAACACCAAATCTAGTAATCAAAAGTGGCTTGAAAAGTGTACAAAAGAGAAAAATTAGGAAGTAAAAAGTATTTAAAATATAAGATGGAAGGCACCTAGCCTAACACCATTTTAATACAGAAATATCCTCCTCAACTTAGTGAACTTACTATTTCCAAAACTAGAATCATAGCTCTACTTCAATTTCCTATACTGAATAAGAATATCATCAAAACATTAAGCAAAAATTTTTGTACCTAAACCGCGAGCTGCAACATCTGTTGCAGTCATTATAGGACTCTTTCCAGATTTAAACTCTGAGAGCACCCAATCTCTTTCTGCTTGACTTTTATCTCCATGAATTGAAAGTGCAGGCCAACCATCCATGCGGAGCTGCCTAGTAATGTGATCACATCCTTTCTTAGTATCCATGAATATCAGTATTCGGCTGCCATCCATGATGTCCTCCAGTAACTTCACCAATCTGACAAATAAGATAAATCCATTAGATGGTCCTATATGATTAGGAATTGAAGTTAGGGAGTGAAAAAAATGTATTAACATATCCTACTTATCATATTTCTGCTTTTCACTAACTATGTCCACATATTGCCGTATAGCATGGTTAGCTTTTAAATCAGGAGATCCTATAATTACCTGCACAATGATTACAAAAATTGTTAATTCAATCTTCAACATATACATAAGATTCTCACACATAAACCTTCCTTACAAGATTATAAATTTCAGAAAAAACCATTTTAACAAGGGAAAAGTGTGTATCATTTTAAAGGATGTAAAGTTGTGTCATTTTAAGTGAGAGAAAGAGATAGATAAAAGGGGAGAGAGAGTAGACAAAAATAAATAAAGGTGTGTGTCTCACATCTTTGTGAGAGTGAAACGACATAAGTTGTGTCATTTAAAATGACAAACACTTTTCCCTTTTAACAAACAGAGGAATGATATTTAAAAAGACAACCCCAACATGAAGAGTTCTTACTTTGTATGGGTTATAAAGGAACTGCCTTGCCAATTGTTCAACCTCCTTTGGCCAGGTAGCACTCCAGTACAATGTTTGACGGTCAGGACGAATCTATATAAAGAAATAAAGCAAACAATAATCAGATAACCAGGAGAATAAACAAAATTTAATCTGCAGCTTCAGCAATCTGTCATTACTAATCAAACTTAGATTAATAATGTTAAGACTCCAGTTACTAGGAATGAGCCCAGATCAGCAGAGTGGAAGATATACATTGGAAAGAAATTCCATGGCACACAAGGCAGATAGAGGAGAGAGAATTTGTTATGGGGAGGCAGCCGTAGTGGGCATAGCATTTAGTGCCTATTTGGATCCTCTCTTTTTTAAGCTAGAAGCTACTTATAAGTATAAGCTGGGCCAACCAGGTTTTGGGAAAAGTTCTTATAATGAAAAACTCTTTTCTTTGCAATGAAGAAAAAAGCTAAAAGCTAAAAGCTCCTATGAGGAGCTTTTTTTTAAGCTCTTATCTGTTTTTCTTGAATTATGTGCTTTTTTTATAATGAAGAATTATAAAGATAGAGAGAGATATAATTTTCTTGAAATATGTGCTTATAAGCAAAAAAAATTATGTGATTACCAAATAGCTTTTAGCTTTTTTTTTTTAAGCGCTTTTTTTTAGCTTTAGCTTATAAGTAGCTTCTAGCTTAAAAAAAGCGAAGATCCAAACAGGCTCTTAGTGGGAGTGCGTGGGCTCAGGTAGGCATTCTGCTTTGTATTGTTGAGGATTATAAGGGCTTGGGGCCGGAGGATAGTTTTTTCTCTTGGCAAGGGGAAATAGTCCTAGCCTACGCCAGACCTTCTGGTTCTCTTTGTCCTGATGTAATTACCTATTTTCAACAATAATAATCCCTTTGGCATCTATTTTCTTTTCACTCATTCTCTACCAGATTGGCATCGACTTCTACGATAAGCTAATCTAAATCATAAGGTTCTTTTATTCAGATAGAAGTGGTGTAGAGTAATGTCTCATTATTTAATACAATTTGTGCTCCTGTCTGAAAGCCACCAGTTGGCATCTATTTGGTGCATTGGGTTTGACCTCAATCCTGTACTTCTTCAACAAAAAATTCAGATCATTTCAGTTATGTGGGATGTAATATAGTTTTCTTTTTGGCTTTTCCATGGTTTTCAGAACAACCAGTGGGCTTTGTCTAACATCTTACTGGATTGGCATTCACTCTTGTACTGATGTCATTCAATGTTTTTCATTGTTGCTTTGCTTTTCTCGGAGGATATCTTATCCTTCCTTAGTTGTGACCCTTCTATCAAATAAAATTCTTTTATTCACCCAAAGATAAGAACAAAAACAGGTTACTTCCATGACTGCAAGCCTTGGAAATTTGAGCCACTGGAAATGAAAGCAAATAAATCCCCCCACGAATTATGTTCCAGGTGTCTACATGTTCAGAAATAGGAATAAAATTAGAGGTGACAAGATCACGCACTGTACCTATCTCTTTCTCCCTCTCATGAAATATACACAACAATGCCAAATGAAGCTTAAGATAGAGTAGCAATATTAATGAACTGTGTGGATGAAGCATCAAGGAGAGCAACCTGACTATGCCAAACAATACTACCATATACCATTTTTAGAGATTTTACTATTTTAAAATTGGGTTTGGTGTTTTTCATTTTAAATGACATAAGTTATGTCATTTTAGGAGAGAGATAGACACAGAAAAACGGAAATCATAGGAGAGAGAAAGTGGGTGGTTTTTTTTAATTTAAAATTCAAATTTCTGTGTCTGTATCTCTCTTAAAATGAGATAACTTTCTGTCATTTAAAATGACAAACACTTTTCCCTTTAAAATATTAATAAGATAATAAAATAAAGTCACCTGAGAGACAATTTTCCGTATCTGAGGATCAAACCCCATGTCCAACATCCTATCAGCTTCATCCAATACCAGGTATGTGACTCTCCGCAAGTTAGTATGATTTGACTCCATCATATCAATTAACCTTCCCGGAGTGGCAATTACAATTTCAACACCTAACTCCAAAAATTAACAGAAGCATCATCAAATTCAAAATCCTGACAAAATAAAAGCTGTACCATGAAGTTACAACAGAAAAGTAAGACATTTAATCCAAGTCATGGCTTTGTAATACTTACATCACCACGTACCTTTCTGGAGATCGCGCACCTGAGGCCCCTTGGGAACCCCACCATATATGCATGTACTCTTAATCCTTGACGATGCACCAAATTTAGTACACTCTTGTTGTATTTGGACAGCAAGTTCCCGTGTTGGGGCCAAAACTAACACAATAGGTCCATCCCCAGGATCTGAAAATATAGTTAATTAATTATTACACAGGAAAAAAGAAAAGAAAAAAAGGTCAGAGGCAAAAAGAAAAGGCACCTTTACATCTCAGTCACATTGCTTCCTTATCTGCTTACCTAGAATTGGCTGGGCATTAACATGCACTATGGCGGGTAACAAGTAAGCAAGCGTCTTCCCTGATCCTGTTTCTGCAATTCCTATCAGATCACGTCCCTTCAAAGCCATTGGCCAACCTTGAGACTGAATGGGTGTAGGTTCCACAAAGCCAGCTTTCTTAATTTCTTGCAATACATATTCTGAATAAAGATAAATTGTAAAATTAGTAAAATGTTGGACACAAAGCATCCCATACACAATAATCTCACAGAAACTCTTCTCAAGATGATAAATACACTTGAATCCAATAAAACAAAATCAGACAGTGTCTTTCCTTCTGAATAAGATAAGTTAACTCATTTCCTAAGCCATTAGGGGGAAAGAAAAAAAAAAACTATTTTGCACATTGATACACAATCCCAGTACCTGGAAAACCAACATCGTGAAAGGACTTGACAGGTTTTGGAACATCTCGGCCTTCAACAGTGATTTCCCTCCGCTGGCGATACTCATTAACATCTTCCTCCGTCATTTCCCTTACAGCGGGTGATTCATTGTAGAAGTTTTTCTCAAAATGAGGCAACCCATCCAAATTCAGTTTCCTTGGCGACCCTGACCCACCTTCATCGTACTCCTTTCTGCTTGAACCACCGTATCCTGTAGCCGTAGGTGCACCTAGCCCCGAATCACTAACAATTAACAAAAACAAACATAACATTTCAGAAAAATGCTTTCGCGAAATTGGAACATTAAACTAGCAGCAGTTCCGTTGGAGAAGAGAAACCCTAAAATTGGGAATTGGGATTTATTAATATGTGGATAAGTGAAGTTGTGAATTGGAAAGGAGGGGAGGGGGTTACCTTCTTCGGTCACGGTAGGAACCTGGATCGCCGGAGCGGCTGTCGTAGCGGCTCATGATGACGGTGACGGTGACGCACGGTTGAGAACGCAGAGAGTCGTAGTGGTAGTTGAAGTTGAGCAGCACCAGCACACAACAATGGCTCTCACCGGTGTAGCTAGGGTTTTGCTAAAGCTACCGCGTCTAGTCCACTCGTTTCAAGACACTCGCTCGCAGCTTCACCGCCGTGCTATCTCTCTCTCTCTAAGTTTAGTTCCTGTCCTGCTGTTACGATAAATAATTTTAGCATCAATTTCTATTTTCATAATATTTTTTTAGAGAAAGGCCGTTAAAGAATAAGGGATGCCACTAATAAGAAAAAAAAAGCATGCCATTAATAAATTACTCGACTCTTTATTTTAAATATTTTATCTATTCTTAAGTAAAAATTTAATATTAACATCACTAATAAATAGTAAACTCGTGTTATCATCATTATCATTATCATTATATATACTTAGTAAATAAATATCATTGGAAAGTTTGATGATGTGTCACTCTCTCATTCAATTTCACCAATGTGTTCACACTTGAGAAAGTTTGAAAAGTTTCTTCTTTTGAATTTTTTTTAATCAAAAATTAATTTAAAATCCAAAATTAATATCAGTTAGTGGGAAAAAAACAGAATCATTATCTTTCTGGGGTCAGGCTGAATTAAAGTTCCACTACTTTATGCATAGGTAATAGTTATGTGCATTTAATGTTTAAATGTAAATTTAAATGATAGTACGTTGGACGATAAAAGAAGTTCAAAGACTTTTCAAGTCCATTTTGAAAGGTGTGTATATATATCATATTATTATTATATATACTAAGGAAATAAACATCATTGGAAAGTTTGATAATGTATCACTCCCTCATTCAATTTCACCAATGTGTTTAGACTTGAGAAAATTTTATCATAATTAGCCTTAAAACCAACGTCATCTGAAAAAAGTGAATATTTAAGAAGCCAATATGATTTTTTTTAAGTTCCAAAACATTCATTTCGAAAATATAATAAAAAAGAGAAAAAAAAATTTGTACAAGTATTTTTAAAAAAATATTTAAATAAATGTTTTAAATGTATACGTATAGCCACTATAAATTCAAACAGAAATAAATTAATTTTTTAAAAAATATGTATAATTAATACAAAAGAATTTAAATTTAAATTTAAATTTAAATAAAAAATAAAAAATGACATCTATCATAATTAGCCTTGAAACCATCATCCTTAAAAAAAAAGAATATTCTAGAAGCCAACATGTTTTTTTCAAAAAATAATTCCAAAATATTAATTTTCAAAATATAATACAAAAAGAAATAAAAAGTTCGTACAAGCATGAATGTCATACTTCATTGTAGTTAGCGATTGGAAAGCTCTGCTTTGGATGCTCAAATTGAGAACATGAACCAGAAGATAAATTGGTGGCTCTTTAATTTCAAAATATAATACAATTAAATTTATCATAATTAACCTTAAAAAAAATGTCATCTAAAAAAATGAATATTTCAGAAGGCAATATGTTTTTTTTTAAAAAAATTCAAAAATATTCATTTTGAAAATATAATACAAAAAGAGAAAAAAACCCGTACAGGTATTTTTTAAAAAAGTATTTGACATAAACGTCTGAAATATATATGTATAATAAAAAATATAAAAATTCTAAATTCTAAAAGAAATAAATTAATTTTTTTTAAAATATTTATAATTAATATATAAAAAATGCCGTCTATCAATCCGTAAAAAAATAAATTATAAAAAATTAATCACTATAAAAATGTAAATTTTAATTTAATATATAAGAAAAATTAAACTTTCATTCTTTTGATGTAAGAGTGTAATTTACACAATTTCCTATGTCGTGAATAAATAATTAGAAGCTATTACTCGAAGAATGTGCACAACCTTCTATGCATGTTTCATACTACTTTTTTTTTTTTTTTGTAAATTGTTTCATACTACTTTCCTGTGTGAAAATTTGTTAAACTTATTAATTATATTTATTATTATATCTATTGGATGAGAAAATATTTAATATTAAAAATTCAAATTTTTTAAATTTTGAATTTTGAACTTCACTATCAATTAATTGTTGTTATTGTTATGATTCATGGAGAATTGGACAGGTCCATTATTACATGTGCACATCCTATAATTGCAATTTATATAAATATCCTCTTAAAATCATTAAAAAGAGATAATGGTCGAAATGAAGTTACAATATAATCCAATAAATTCCACGATTTCTCAATATAAAAACTGCAATGTAGAAATAAAAGTTACAATCCAACGTTGAATATCCTTGTCATTCCTATCATGGCATTAAAGGAGGGCAACACGTTCCCATTAATTTTTTGCAAACGAAATTGAACAATCAAAGTGAAAATGAAACGTTAAAGTAAATTCAAAAGCTATAATGAATACTGAGATGCAGTAACACGCAATGCGAATTTGTGCATAGTTGCATACGACAGCATCAGGCTTCACGCAATGGGCTTATTACAAACTCTCCCATTTTGATAAAAAAATATTTTATATTTTTTGAAAAATAATTATTTTATATGAAAACTTTTTTTTCCAAAAAATTGTTGACAAAGGAAACAACCTAAATTATGTTTTAATGCTATTTATAATTACATGTTTCCAACCCATTATGTAGTTGGCTTTAAACAATGTGTTTTTCAATTAAAAATTATGTTTAGAAGCTTATAACAATAAAATAAATTTTTCATAAAGCCTAAAACCTAAAAAATGTAGCTTTAATATTTTATAAAAAAAAATTAAAATATAACTTCTAATCGTTTGGAAAAACGAATAATATTTGATTTTTAAAAACATAAATAATTTAGATTGTTGAAAAAAGAAACAAACTTTTGTAACAAATAATTATTTATTATTATTAATAGATCAATTAAAATGAATGATCATTCAATAACCAGTGACCATCCAATACATGCATCATAAAAATGTGTTTGTCATTAAGTATTTTATAGACTATTTTAATATTTTTCACTACTTTCTGCATGGTAAATTGTTAAGCCTATTAATAATATTTATTATTACGTCTATTAGGTGAAAAAATAAATATTTAAAATTCAAACTTTTTAAATTTGAATTTTGAACATAATAGGTGGGAAAAAGTATAAAGTAAAAATTGAAATTATCAAAAATTAGAACTTGATTAAACAGAGTATACAGAAAATAAATGATTATACACATGTAAAATAATTAATTTATAAAAAAAATTTAAGGTGCTAAATTTAAAATTTAATAAACCTAGATATAAAAAAATAAATTTTGGATGTACTATTGATTAAATGTTACGTTATAATATATATATATATATATATATATACATAGGTACATTTAATAATTTATAATATTATATATGAAATTCCAAATAATTTGTTAAAATAATTAAAAAAGTAAAAAATTACTTATTTTTTTTAAAAGTTATAATTATATATTTTTTTAATTATATGTGACTTTAAAATATAAATCACGAATAGCTTCTTATTTTAAACTTCTTTAATATTTTAATTAAGTTTAATAAAAGAATATTACTGAATTAAACACAATATTACTATTGATTTTTTTGAAAATTAAAAATATTTAATGATTATTTTAATTTTTGTCCAAAATAAATAGAAGAATTTTTTTTAATCGATGCTATTATTAAACTTACAATAAAAAAAATAGTCATGATATCAAATTATGGAGTAATATTAGCCAACTTTTTGGAAAGTAAAACCAAAGAATTGAATATATATACTTGAAACCAAAGTAAAATTACACTTATAGTTATATTTAATTTTTTTAAAATTATATTTGACTTTAAAATATAAATCAGGCACAACTTATTATATTTAAATATAATAATTTATTACACACTGATATAAAATATTGACAATTAGAGGCAGTGTTTTAAAACTCGGACCGGTCATTGAACCGGTCGAGGTACTGGGTCACTGAGTCACAGGTTCAACCGGGTTGAACCGGTTTTACTGTTCACATATTAAAAATATAAAAATATTACTTATATTAATATAAATTCACATAAGAAAACTATCAATGAGCTTCAAAAAATAAATTGGTTTTCAATGATAGCAAATATTATATACTTCTAAGCTTTCAGCTCTAGACCATATCCTAATATTGGATTAAACCATGCAATATAAGTTAAATGCACCTTTTGTGCTTGACATGATACGGATAAATTAAATCATGATAACAAATAATATGCATGAAATATACACTATAAGAAAAAAGTATCTGTTATCAAAAAAAAAAAAAAAAAAAAAAGTATCACTGTTGTCATGATAACAAATAGTATGCATAAAATATATATTAAGAAAAAAGTGTCCACCGTTGAGATGAGATCATGAGACCATCAGTGTTTATCACCACTTAACTTCATGAGATCATTATAAGATGCAACTAAATTACATAAACGAACTACACTAATCTAAAATACCTTATTATTTTCACCTTACTTTTAATCATATTCATCATAAAATATGAATATGATTTAATTCAAGAGTTCTTATCAACAACAAAAAACTTTTACCAAAAAAAGAAGAAGGAAAAACCAATTTAACCCGAGTCAATCAGGTCGCCAGGTTTCGGCCGGGTCAACCGGTCCAATCCGGGCTGACTGTATAACTGGTCCAACTACCCGCTCGGACTGAGGAACCCACCGGGTCACCGAGTCCCGGGTCGACCCGGCCGGTCCGAGCCGAATTTTAAAACACTGATTAGAGGTGATAAAATGGGCTCGGCCCGGAGGGCCGGCCCACCTTGCCCGCCAAATAGGAGAGTTCGCCCGTTAACACGTTTTTTTTTATATTTACTGTCTAACAAACCTGTCTTTGTGTGGCTGATCATTGGATTTACTGTTGTAAATATTTCTTAAACAAGCATCTAAAGATTAAATACGATCATTAAATATATCTTTATATATAGATATATTGTTAATAATTATTTATACTTATGCAATTAAACTAATAAATGGTCTTTTGATATTACCAAATTCAACTTCAACTATGAAATGTTTGTTATAATATTAAACGTACTAAATTGAAATATTTATAAACTCTTTCTCTAATATATATGTTACAACTACAGAAAACATAGATACATAGTAATATAGACGCAAGTATAAGAACCCTTTTTTTTATGGATAAATACGAAAACCTATTATATGACGATATAAAATGTTGATAATTAGATGTGGCAAAATGGGCTCGGCCCGGAGGGCCGGCCTACCCCGCCTGCGAACACATTTCCCCCCTTATATCTATTGTCTAACAAACTCGTCTTTGTATGGTTAAGATAATTAGATTTATTGTTATAAATATTTCAGAAATAAACATTTAAATAAAATGAACAATCATACTCTGATAAATAAAAGTTCATCTAAACAAAATGAACAATCAACACAACATTTAATTTTTTTCATGTATATTAATTGATTTTATTTTAGCAAATTTCGTGTACGGTTGAATCAATAAGACGGGATCATATTGAATAATAACGCAGAGGAGAAGGTTCATTGGTAGTTATATTTGAAGACTGAATTATTGAGTACATAACTATATTTAATTTGCATAATAATCAATGCCTCTGAATTGCAAAATTTTGTTTGTGGTTGATATTTACAAAATTATGTGTGAATGTTGTAGCCTTTTAAAGTTCAAAATAAGCAACACAATTCTTTTTTATTTCATATAATTCTCAAACAATAGGTTTGCTTTTTCATTTTTTGTTCTTTCATGTTTATACCTCTACCATAGTACCGTTCAGAGCTTGATAGCAAGAATAAAGAGTTGATTTACCGGTGCGACGATTAACCAACGACGGCGACAACGATTTTTTTCTTTTTTCCCGGGCATCGCACGGATAATTTACTAGCTTAATGGCAATCAAACATAAAATTGTACAATAAAAACATTAAAATGAAAATATCAAAAAATTAAATTATTAATGTCTTTTATATATACATCTCTACAATCATGGTATACATTAATAAAAAAAAAATTAAATATTTATGTTTTAATATATAATTTTTTAATTTTTATATATGTTTTAACTCCTTTTTTTAAACCATTATAGTTTATAAAATATAATATTTTAATATATAATTTTTTAATTTTTATATATGTTTTAACTCATTTTTTATAAAGTACTATTAGAATGTTTTATAATATTATTTTATAAAAAAGTGAGTTAAAATTTTTATAAAAATTATATAAAAATTATTAAATTATATAATAAAACATTATATTTTATAAACTATAATGTTTTACAAAAAAATGAGTTAAGACATATATAAAAGTTAGAAAATGATATATTAAAAATTATTATTTTATAAAATATTATTAATCTATTAAAATGTTCATAAATATTTATTTATTTTTCATTAATGTACACCATGATCGTAGAGGTGTGTTATTACTTATATAAAAATGTTATCGATTTATTTTATTGATATTTGTATTTTAACATTCTTATTGTAAAATTTTATGTTTGATTTCTATTAAATAACACGAGTTTACTGTCCATTAGTGATGTTAATATTAAATTTTTATTTAAGAATAGGTAAAATATTTAAAATAGGGGATCTAGTAATTTATTAACGGCATCCCTCTTTTTTATTTGTGGATTATTAAACTTCGTTAGACTTTATCAAAGTAGTTAGAAATAGGTAGCGTCTACGGTAGAATTATCCAAAAGAAAACGAAATAAGCTTTCACAAGGCCAAAGTAGCGACATAGGTATTGTCAACTACTATGGAAAATCGCTACATAAGATAGCGACTTTGGTATACTCAGACCAAACCAGGCTTCTTACGCATATGCATGGCTAACACATGGCCTTTCATAGTCGCTACATAACTCAGCGACTATGGTATCGTGGCAATTTGGTGTATTTTTTCAAACGTGTGGCATTATGCTATATTATAAATATATATATATATATATATATATATATATGGGGCAGGATATTCTTACACCGGTGTAAGAGTTAGAAGTCTTACACTCAATCTTGACCACTGATCCACTTGTATATAATGGCTCACATTACTAAAAAATTAGAGCCCTTAGATATAAGTGGGATCAAGGGACAAGATTGAGAGTGTAGCTTACACTGGTGTAAAATGATCTTGACCCTATATATATATATATATATATATATATATATATATATATATATGTATATATGTGAGGTAGGATCTTTTGACGTCGGTGTCAAATTTGAAATTTGACACCGGTTCTAAGAGTCGTTAGATCAAAAAAGATCAATGGTGTCACATGATTACAAATCATAATCATTCATCTTTTTTGATCTAATAGCTCTCAGATGAGGTATTAAATTTAAAATTTGACACCGGTATCAGAGGATCCTACCTATATATATATGTGTGTGTGAGTGTGGTAGTACGGTCAATGTCACGTCCTAGACTTGTTGTTCTTGTTCAGGAAACACGTTGCAAACTAGACTTGCTAGAACTGATAACGAGTCGTGAAATGTGACATTTTAATTTTGAAACATGACATTTTAATAATTAAAATGCAAAAATGTGGCATTTTAATCTCAGGGTATATTTTTCTCCTATTATACGAGAAAAATATACCTTATACACACTCATCAAAAAACGTGCCTTGAGTTTAAAAAAAAATAGGCTCCGCATATTTTGTGTCTACAACATGAGAGAAGTTATCTTATGTGACATGAGAATCATTTTCCCTTTAATCTTTGTCCCTTTTATTTATGGCTTTAATGTTTTTACACTAAATACCAATGTTATAAAAATCGGACCGACCCGGCCGGGTCAATCCAGAAATCGGTGAACCGGTCATGTAACCGGTCCGGTTTTCATATTGGACCGGCCATGTTACAGAACCGGTGTGACCCGGTGCAACCCGACCGATTTTTGTAAAAACCGGTGACCCGACCCGGTCTATAAAAAAAAAACTAATTTATTTTCATAAATTAATGTCTTTTTTTTGTACTCTCAAACACAAATGATTTGTTTTCTTTTGAAATATTTGAGTGATTTGTATCTTATTAACTTACATAGATTATGTACCTACAACACTCTAATATTATATTGATTATGCAATATACAGGAAATTTTGATTTGATTTATAGTTAAAGATGTCGTTTACTGAACCTGAAACACTAGTATCACAAATATTATATGTTTGATTGATCTTTTGTTGGATAATGATGTGTAATTTATTATTTTCATATTAAAATATTTGAAATTGGTATATTTTTTTACAAGTATTTAAGTATATTTATAGTTATTTTAATATAAATTATAGATTTACATATACTTACCGGGTCATGCGATTGAATCAGTGACCCACTGGTTGAACCAGTGACCCAGTACCTCGACTGAGTCAATAACCGGGCCGGGTTTAATAACATTGCTAAATACAGATAAGTTATCAATATTTATTCTCAAAATGATGTCATTTTGGTTTAAAAGATTAAAAAATATAATGATAAAGACTTATAACCTTGAAATAAATTATAATTACAAAAATATATTAATTTTCATTTCAAAACGATATATTTTAGACTTATTTCAGCTCAAAAATTTATCAATATTCAATGCAGAAATAATGAACCCAACAAAGCCCAGTTCGGCCCAAAAATATGAGAGCCCACCCAACTCAGCCCAAAAAAGCCCGTTTGAGCAATCAAATAATATCTTGGCCACTTTATCACACGTTCATTCACCGCCACTTCACCGTTTCACAATGCAAGCTCTATCTGAAATTGTAACTGTAACATCATCGTCTTCTCTGAAATTCAGAGTGAGAGCTTCATGGGACACACAACAGAGGCTCCCTTACAATCGCAATGCTCCTAGAAACCCTAAAAAGAACAACGTTCTCACTCACACACAATCTCCTTCTCTGGTTTCAACCGCACCACCTACGCGCAAGGACCAGTACGTTTCTGATCTACTCAAGCGCGCCACTCCTCTTCCTACCATAGGTATTCACTCACTAACTCACTTCTTTCTCATTTATGTTTATCTATTTCCTTCGAATTTTCCAATTTCTTATTTACAGCACCTATAGAAGAAGAAGAAGAAGAAGAAGAACAACAACAACAAGATGAAACCTACTTGGGATATGAGAGATGGCTCCCAAATCCACCTAAAGTGGTTAAGCCTCGATCCGTGTTTAATGCTGCTACCTTAGCATATATTGGTGATTGCATATATGAGGTCTTTTTCTTTCCCTTTACTTTTCTGCCATTCACTTCTATTCATAAATGAAATACTTGTCTTTAGTAGTTTATTTGATCCTTATTTAAAAACAAAAAAAAACTATATTTATGGATGGCCAAGAAAGAAATAAAATAAAATAATTTTTATTATTCACGTGTAGAAGAAGATAGAATAGACGAGATTTGCTTAACCACTTGAAGTCTATGCTTCGTATGTTTTAGCATCTGTATTTGGATTTTCCCTCTTTGATCAAACGAACAAATTCCCATAGTGAACGCTTCTTTGCAAATTAGCAACGAGCTCAAGTGCTCAAGTTATTCAGGCACCGTGTAACGTTGTTGATACACAAAGGTTACTTAGAAATATAGATTGGAGTAGGGGTGTAAATAGGCTAGGCTTTGACTTAAATAGGCCAGGCTTATCTAACAAATATTGGGTATGGCCTGACCTATTAGCCTGTGTAGTCCCCAAATTACAAGTCTGCTTTGACCTGTATTTAAAAAATAGTTAGCCTGTTTAAGCCTATTAAACATTCAACAATTAAAAGAATAACTAAAATAATATTATTTTATTATTCAAAATTATTAAAATAATAGTTTTATTTATTATATTTTAAATAAATAATATGATATAGGCCGGCCTGTAGGTTTATAGGCCCAACATGTGGCCTGTTTTCTAAATAGTTTTTTTAAAAAGCCTAGGCATGTTCTATTTTACTATTTATAATAGGCCAAGCCTGGCCTAATATGGGCTAGGCTGTAGGCCCCTGTAGGCCGGCCTAGCCCATTTACCCGCCTTGGAGGAACATGTTGTGGGTGTTTAAGTGGATATAACACAATAAATGCCTTAGAAGAGTTGGTTTTCATGACTAGTAGTGAGAACATGACAAATTTGAATTTGACAAGATGGAGACTGACTTTAAATGATGCATGAATAATAAGGTATCTATCTAGTCAAGTATAAATTTTTTACCCTCAAATTTTGATTTTGAAGTACAAGAGTTTTAATAACTATACAAATGTATACTAATTCTTATTTTTTTCATAAAAAAGTAACGCCTAACTTTTCATTACCTATGTCCATGAACATGCTTGCCTAGTTTGTATTGTAATTTCTATTCAGTAAAATTCAAACAATTCTTTTGATTTTTTGAATTTCTTAACATCTTATTCTCATATTTTCTGAAACGTGCAGCTATATGCTCGTAGGCACTTTTTATTTCCTCCCCTTAGTATTGAAGAATACAATGGTCGTGTGATGGCAGTTGTGCGTTGTGAGGCTCAAGTATGATTTATTTCCTTGCTTCTTTATTTTAACTTCATTTATCTTGTATGCAATGATTTTAGATAAGTAATATGCTAGTTCTTATATAGTTGTATTTTGATGGATATATATTTTTCCTTTTTCCTTTTAATTATTTTTTGTTGCTAATTTATATGTCTGTCCTTTATAGATGAGGTTTTTTATTTTTACGGGGTTCTCATGCCCAGCCCCAACGTAGTGGATTATTACAACCCACACTAGAACCATTACCAAGCACAACACCACATAGCAATGCCAGCTTAGCCTTCCCAATAATTAATGCCAATTAATTTTGTACTACAATTATAGTCGGAGAAAGTGAGACCTTTTCTGCTTTTGGGATACCCATGTCAGACTCATTTGTACCCTAAAAGGGAGTTGGGAAGTTATTTTTTGTGCTTTTCTTGCTTGATCTACTGTTATAGGTCTCTCTGTCTTGAGTGATGTCTATATTTTCTCCCTTTCTCATCTCTGGTACTATTCATGTGTTCTTCGTCCCAAATCCACTCATTTAGCTTTACATGCTTATGAGATTCCTTTCACAGTATGTTTGACAGTATTTCTTTCTCATGATTGGGCTGGAAATATGTTACGATCCCATTTGCAAGGTATGGGACTTGAAGTCCCACATTGGTTGTATGTGCAACTAATGCGAGGTTTATAAGGCTTTAGACACTCCCACCCTTTGAGCTAGTTTTTGGGGTGGTGCATCCCAAGGTTCTTATCAAAATATTTTCATCACCAGAAGTAAATCATGGACCATGGTAATGAGCTATGCTTTAAATGGTGGAAAAAGGCATTATTTAAGTTGGGAACAAGAGAAATTTACTAAGCATATTTCATATTGAATTTTAATAATCAAATGATATGCTTAACTTCTTTCCTCTTAATCTTGTTTGCAAACTTCAGAATTTTTCAACAAGGCTGAATTTGTTGAAATAGCTTTTTTCATTGTTTGAATTACATATTCTATCTATTCATTGTTAGTGTTTTTCTATCCTAATCCTAGTTTTGCTTTTTTGCGTTTCCTAAAATGATATTTTTGTGAGTAAAGCAAAACCATATGAATTTTGATTTTAGTTGGTCAGTGGTTGGTTTTTATTGAATATTTCAGTTATATCTCTTACTAGAGAAAACTCACACTTCATATACTCAGTCTTGCTCCGGCTTAACGTGAATCCTTTAGACTCCGATGTGCTTGTGGAGAAGGCGGAGAGATTGGTGAGGATGTAAGTCATAGAATCAGAGCAGGGTGGATGAAATAGCGTAGTGCTTCTGAGTTTTTGTGTGACCGCAAAATTCCCTTTAAGCTAAAAGGAAAATTCTATAGAACAATAGTAAGGCTTGCAATGTTATATGGAGTTGAATGTTGGTCAGCACATAGGCAGCATGAACTTAAAATGGGAATAGCAGAGATGAGGATGTTACGGTGGATGTGTGGTTATACGAGGATGGATAAGATAAGAAATGAAGATATTCGACGCAAGGTAGGAATACTACCGGTGGCTGAAAAGATGAGAGAACATAGATTGAGGTGGTTAGGGCACGTAATGAGAAGGCCCCTGGATGCTTCCGTAAGAACAAACGGTTGTTACCAAGAGCTCGACACAAAAAAAGATAGAGGTAGACCGAAACTTACTTGAGAGAAGGTAGTAAAATAAGACTTAATGGAGTGAGATATAGATTAGCGGACGGTGTGCCTTAGGATGGAATGGAGAAAAACTATTAGCATGGTGGAGGGTTAGACCCGTTGTTATTCCTATGTTCCAGATGGTCCCTTTTTAGTCCTTTTCCTCTTCATCTTCTCCCTCTTCTTATTTTCCCCTTCTTTTCTTTTGTCTCTTTTCTCCTTCTCCATCTTCTTCTTCCTTTTTTTTTTCCACCCCTTATATATATATATATATATATATATATATATATTCTTATTATTGTTATATTATTTATTTTTATTTTACCCCTTCGTACCTTTCATTTGGGTTCATCTACCACCGACCCTAATTAGTTTGAGATAAAGGTGTTGTCGATTACTAATTAATAAATAAGTGAGTTTATAATGTAATGATGAAATATATTGAATTGTTCATGTTTTCTGCTTTGCAGGATGCATTGCTCCAGAAACTTCTTAACAGTACCTTCTTATCAGATCAAGAGAGGTTAGAATATGTTACTCTCAGGGTCACACACACAGACGCATACCTATTTTCTATTATTATTATAATATTTTTGAACTTTCATCTTGTGAAGATTCTGCAATACGAGATCCTATTATCTGTCTATGATATATTCTTTGACTGAAATCTATATTTTAAATGTATCCTTGATTCCAATAGGAAATTTGGTGCATGAAAATGTTATTGACAAGTGAATCTTTAATCCTATATACAGATTTATCCTTGTTATGGGAAGATAAAAAGGAATGTTCTGTCTACTATTTTGAAGTTCTATGCTTTAGAAACAGTTGCCACTCTATATCTTGATTCTTGACTCTGTGCTTGTACATCCTGTCTAAGGGCTCGTATGGATGGGCTTTTTTACCCCAAAAGCTGCTTTTTTTTTTTAAAAGTATTCTCGCTACAAATTAGTATTTGGATGTCAGCTTTTAAAACAAGCAGAAGTCATAATAGAAGTCAATATTTTGCTTTTTTTTTTAAGCTAAAATTTATGTCTTTTAAAAAAAGCAGAAGTCAAAAGTCAAATATTTTTCTCATTATCCAAATTTGCTCCAACCCCAACCTTGCCGCCACCATCACAACCACCGCCCACCGCCACTGACATCGCCACCACCACCATCGCCGCTACTATCAAATTTTGCTTCCATGATTTGTTTTCACATTATAAAATAGTTTTTAGTTTTGACTTGCAAACAATTTTTTTTAGTTAAAAGTGTTTTTCACGTATTACATCCAAGTGCAAAATTGCTTTTACTTTTAAAAAAAGTCCTTCTAAAAATTGTAAGGCATAAAAAGGATTTTTTTCGAAAGCCCATCCAATAGGGGGCCCCTAGATTGATTTTGAACAATGTCTCATTGAATCATAGAAGTTGATGGGCAGCTGGATGGATGGCTTCCTTTTAAAATAAGGCAGGTTTATTTCTCTAGAAGATAAGGTAGTGAGAACTTTGATTAGTTTTTGATGGGCTAGGAATAGTGGGCCCAAGTTTAGCAATACAAAATTAGTTAGTTAGCTAGTTTGTTAGGGAAATTATTCTAGAATATTCCTAAATAATAGGATATAAGGAGGGGGTGTGGGAGTGTGAGGTATTCATGTATTCAGAATATTTGGAGTGAGGGTTTTGGGAAAGGATCTCTTGGGATCTCTTTGGCCTAGATATTTGGCTTTAGAGTGAGTGAGGTCTTTTGGTGTTTATGGAGAAAGACCTCACTCACTCTAAAGCCAAATACCTAGGCCAAAGAGATCCCAAGAGATCCTTTCCCAAAACCCTCACTCCAAATATTCTGAATACATGAATACCTCACACTCCCACACCCCCTCCTTATATCCTATTATTTAGGAATATTCTAGAATAATTTCCCTAACAAACTAGCTAACTAACTAATTTTGTATTGCTAAACTTGGGCCCACTATTCCTAGCCCATCAGTTTTATAACTAAAAATGTCTGATTTATACATTAAGAAGAAGATAATTATCAACTATGATGCCTGTGGAGCTGTTAGGACTTAGGAGCATAAATAATCTTATAGAAACTGTTTCGATGGGCTTTTGAAAAAAAACAGTTTTTATCCACTGCCTTTCTTAGAAGGGCTTTTTTTATTTTTTATTTTTTAAAAAAAGCTAAAACTATTTTGCATTTGGATGGAGTAGCTAAATAGTATCTTTAAGTAAAAAAGTTATCTGGATGTTAAATTAAAAAGCACTTTTTAATGTGTAAACTTACTAAAATGGACAAAATGGACATGTGATGATATTGGTGGAGGTGGGATTAGGGCAAAATTGATTTTTGAGAAAAATATTTGGCTTTGGGCTTGCCCTGATATTTGATTTCTGTACCAAAATAGGTCTGAAAACTTTTGAAAATAATATTATGTTATCTCAATTAAGAATTAAAATTCATTAATTTGTACAAGTAAATCCAAAATAGAGTTGAAATAAGATAGTACAATAAAGCATATCTTCTAAGAAAGAAACATGAATGTTAACAATGTAGCATTAGAAATTATGCATTTATAAGTACAACTGTTGCATCTGATGTTGTACAGACTACGATACAGTTTCTGCTCATTCCAAAAAGAAGTTGAAATGTGTTGACGCATTTTGAACCCATTTTAGCACATTGCAATGCATTTAGGCCTTGTTGGCATGCTTCAATGTCATTTTGGAGCATTTCAGAACTGTATTGGTGTATATCTGAAATGTTCCAGGAAAAAATTGTGTCTTTTTTATTACGAAGTTATATTAAGGTATGTCACGAGTCAGATCTACTTAGTCCAAATAGCATGGGTTTAAATAATACTACCATCGATTGGTAAAAAATGGTATCTCAGGTTATGCTACATATAGAGGCCATCTCATGATCCTGAAACCTGGATCTGAGTTCAAAAATCATGGTTGGGGTTTTGTTGAATGAACAACTAAGAAATCAGCTCGCATGATGAATTTCTTGTGGAAATGTTTGGTACTGATAGCTTAAGACTCCTTTCATGCTTTGAATTTGAGGCTATATTTGAATTTGCATTTTTATCTGACTCATGGATGGCACAGAATGATGATTGGATGAAGCCAATAGACAGTAAACTTTGCAAAGAAAAAGCTAACATACCGTTCGGTATGCTGAATTTTGCCAGCAATTTGACTGATTGACAATTCTAGTAATTTATGCTGGTTTAATATGAGCTTAGACACTCTTAGCGTAATAGGGGAGTTGGCAGATCATAGGAATTCTGTTGAAGTTTCTATTTTTGGCTTATGACTTTTAATGATCTTTATTGCAGGGATGTTCTTCGATGGGGAAAGAACATTGATTCAAGTAAAACTAAGACAAAAAAGCGTGCTGGTGCAGCTGCATATAGCAGAGCATCTTCACTAGAAACATTAGTCAGTGCCTTCAAACTTTGGGTTCTCTTCCGATTGTATAAATATTGCATACAACAGTTATCTGATTCTGGGGAATTTTCTTTCTGTATTTGTTTAACTGAAAAATGGTATTTGCTCAATGATTACTGTTAAAACTCAACTTATAGTGCATGATACATATATAGACGTATCTATATATTCTAAATCTTACCAAGCTGCAAGTTTACCCCTTCAAACAAAGCTTGTATGACAATATCAATGGGATTATTTTTATTTGTATAATATAGCACAATTAACTATTAAGGGCTAGTTGTTGCATCACTGTTTTACAATTTCAGCTTACTTGTGTGTTGCAACTTGCAACTTATCCATCTACTAATATTGTTCATTTCTAATTGAAAATCAGAGAATTTGATTGGAATAATCTAAGACAAAGTATTTCCTGCATAATTTGAAACTTGTTTTCAGACTTGTCTAACACAGGCATCTATTGAATTAGGTTGGGTATCTCTATTTGACAAATGTAAATCGCTTGGAAAAGCTAATGTTAGAGTTGGGATTCTCAGTCGACTCTTCAGTGGCTTTAAATGTGGAGGAAGTAATAGTAAGTTTTATATCATACAGTCCAGCACTCGAGCTTACTATTTATTTTTTATTTTTTTGCTTTCCCAGTTGAATTTTGCAGACAACTGGGAATTAACCCAGAAATTTCTGAAACTGGCATAAGACCGAAGGAGAAATTAAGTAATTGGTATTCTAGTAGTTGGAATGATTGATTTCTGCATCTTAGACCTCATGTTGGCATAGCCAAACCTTTGTGCATACAATTAATTGGCATTCCTGGTAGCGTCTTCTACATGGTAGGACAAGGGAAGTAAATTGGTGCAGAATTCTGTTGCAGCTATCTGGTAGGAACAATTTTTATGTTGTAAAAAGAATAGACTTAGTGCTAGTAACAACATAAAACACATCACCCATGGGTTATAAAGAAAATATTTAAAATATTTCATAGAAGCGATCAGTAGGATGATTCAAACAAGGCTGCTGCTTTTGCATATACGGAACATCATAATCTTGCCAATATTATAAGCATCTATTTCTTGTACTTCTCATGCAGTAGACTTGAACATTGATCAGTCATGGTGTTGCCTCTCTGTCAAGTGTCAGCACACATGTTGGTGTTTTATTGTTGGTACTTTGTTCACTAGGTGATAATTGCATTTTCTTTCCGTTTTTAGACAGGCGAGCTGAACAATGGATAAAGATAATCTTCAGGCAATCCCGCTGGAGCAGGCAAAACAACTCATTGAGATTTTGTTCAAGCCATTGTATTCTTATGCAAAGCCTATCCTAGTAGATTGACTTCTCTTTTGCTTATTGGTGGGATATGCTGTACCAGTACCACATTCCAACATCATATTATCTCGCCATGCTAGAGATCAGAAGCCTTTGAAATCCTTTTTAACTTAATATTTCTCCTGTACAAAGGTTCTCATGGTTTGTTAGCAATTTATCTTTTTAAGATGGGTACAATCAAAAGAGAAGACAATGCAGCGAAGCTTTGGTTCTTCGTGGTAAATTTGTCTTGGGGTTTGCAGTTTTGCTCGAATTTGGTCCAGTTGATTGGTTCATGTGGGAATTGAGTTGAATACTAAGAACATAAGGACCAAGATATGTATTTCTAATATTACTTTGGAATTATTATTTTGTTAAAGATATAAATTCAATTATGTCTCGTATTCTGTAATTACGCATGTTGCTAAAATATTTGCGATAGGTAAAATATTTGTCTCTCTTTCTAAAATAAGTGATAAACAAGTTAGCCAGTGGAACTTGTCAGGAAAGAAGGACTGTTTTTGTTTTACGCACAAGCGGCCCTTCTGATTCCAAAATGGCTTGGAGAGGGAACGGAGAACATGCCATGCGATTAACTTATGGCAAAGGCAATTAAAACAATTTGTGAAAATGCCAGAAAGTGTTATATTTACAAGCAAATAAAAAATAAATGTAAGATTTGTAATATATAGCGTTATATTTATAAATTTTTTGTTTATAAATTATCTTATATACTTTGGGGAGTATAAATATTTAAGTATAAATTTTTTGGAGTACATAGCACCGAGGAGTCAAATATTTATGTAATGCCCGACTACTTGCAAGAATCAATGACTGTCCCCACACACTAACACCAGACTTTTCAGTGTGTTTTGTCCTCACTCGCACACTTCCCGGGAAAACTTCCCAGGAGGTCACCCATCCCAGAATTGCTCCAAGTCAAGCATGCTTAGCTGTGGAGTTCTTCCGATCCGGGCTACCGAAAAATAGATACATCTTGTTAGTATAGGTAGTACCAATTAATTCTTATAAGTCATTCCTAACTGTACCGTCACATACCAGCACAGTCTCTGGAATCCCTCTCTTTCGGGTGTTGATTCGATTCATTCATGAACCCCCAAGCTGCAAGATTTGGCATGAGCCGCTCATTGTCCGTGCCCTTTCGCACCGGCGATGACTCCCTGCCTTTGCCAGCTCTTGGGATGTTACATGCCCACCAGCTTTCGCCTGGTTCGTCCTCGAACCACACCGTACTGGAAGAGAGGCCCTGCTCTGATACCACTTGTAACGCCCGGCCACTTGCAAGAATCAATGACTGTGCCTACACACTAACACCAGACTTTTCAGTGTGCTTTGTCCTCACTCGCACACTTCCCGGGAAAACTTTCCAGGAGGTCACCCATCCCAGAATTGCTCCAAGTCAAGCACGCTTCACTGTGTAGTTCTTCCGATCCGGGCTACCGAAAAGTAGATACATCTTGTTAGTATAGGTCGTACCAATTAATTCTTATAAGTCATTCCTAACTGTACCGTCCCATACCAGCACAGTCTCTGGAATTCCTCTCTTTCGGGTGTTGATTCGATTCATTCATGAACCCCAAGCTGCAAGATTTGGCATGAGCCGCTCATTGTCCGTGCTCTTTCGCACCGGCGATCACTCACTGGCCTTGCCAGCTCTTGGGATGTTACAATTTAAGTGGGTATTCTCCGGAGTATATAATATAGAGGAAGGTTATAGTTACTATTTCCTACTACTAAATCTTAACTGTTGATTTCGTCAATCTAACGGTTGTAATTTATTGGGTCATATTTATAATTAAGTATTAATTTCTAATAAATTATAACCGTTAGATTGACAGAGATCAACGATTAAGATTTGATAGTAAGAGGTAGTAGAAAAAAGATGTAGTTAGTATAACCTCTCCCTATAATATAACTTGTAAGAGTTTTTAAACAAAAAAATTTATAAATGTAATTTACCCCTTAAAACTATGGGTTTTTTCGTTTCTTATGTCACATGAGATAACATCTCTCATGCTATAGACACAACAAGTGGTAGGTCCCACCACTTGTTAAAAAAATAAAAAAATAAGAAAGAAGATAGTACGGATTTCGATGCCTCACAACATGAAAAAGCAATCTCCAACAACATGAAAAAATGATTTCCCTAAAACTATTTGTGTAAACGCCAGAAAGCTCATATAATATCAAAGTTTTCGTCTAAAATTTGTTTCCAATAAGTTTCGAATTATTTAGTGCAATAGTTCTTGATACTAGATAGTTCAACGCACTGGCGGATCCACGTGTGGACAAATATCCGCACGTGCGGACATAAATATTTTGATTTTTTTTCTTTGTTGTAGGTCCTTATTATTTGTCTCTTGGTTCAATATTTATATTAGTTAGCAACATAGCAACGCACAGAGATGATTAAATTGAAGTAGCGATGCAAATTGATTAGAGAGATTCTTATGCTCTCTTCATCCTTTGTTTCCTTTTTCATTTTTATAAATTTACTTTCTCTCCATCCTTCGAGTCTCTCTTAAGTCTTACCTGCACACAAGACATTTGTCTTCTTTCTCACTCTCGCGCGCATCATTGTGGTAGTTTCACCTCTTTTTAGGTTTTGATTGTGCTATGTTCTTCACTATGTTTTTTGAGTAATATTTCTCTCAAATTGATTGCATAAGAGATAAATATTTTTCTACACTCACATAGTCACATTGATAATTGAGCTACTATTTTATTTTATTTTCTCTCTCTTGGTAGGCCCCACAATTATATGTGAGTGTAGGAAAATATTTCTCTCTTATGCAACTTGAGAGAAATATTTACCCATGTTTTTTTCTCCATGTTTCGTTTTTACAAATCCGGATCTTCTACTTGTTTTTGCTACTGATTGGTAAGATTTAGGGAGGAATGATTGGTCAAACTATTGCCTGCAATTTCTTATGGAAGCAACTAGATTATGAGCCGGTTCATAACCTTGTACATAAAGCGTTAATTTAAACTTTATTTACAAAAAAAAATCTCATGGGCGCTGCCCCCAAATCTCCGCCACTAAATGTGTGGACATAAATTTTTTTTCTAGATCCGCGACTGGTTCAACACTGAACTGTATATATGGTAATTTTCTTTGCACCGAAAAATAAAGGAGCATGAAAAAGAAAAGGCATAATATGCATGTAGCAGAATGCAATAAACTATTATAATACATACCTCATGTGACACGCTTTTTGTTTTTTTCCTTTTTCTTTTAACAAATGTTGATGTTGTAAGAATTTTTATAAAATATGATTATATGAAATTAGAACATCAAAAGATTCAGTCTTACTTATTGAAGATGTGATTCTTGATTTTTTGAAGGCTTCTTGTTTATTCTGATGCTCCTGCAATTGAAAGACCAGGATCTTCCTCTGCAATTCACATCACTCCTTGATCACAACCGTTGATGGGGCGAGTTGTTGAGTGACGATTTTCTAACACACTGTGAATGCAGAGGGGACTAGCCAAACTTATTAACCCTAGTCCCCTTCCCATCATGGGCCTATGGGTTAGGCTTACACTGTTACCCACACTAATCAGTTTACAGATATCCAAGCCCAAATCAAAAGGATCACTAATTAACTGGGCTTTATACTGCACCCCTATATGGATCATGGCTTAGCCCTTTTTTTATTAAAACAAGAAAAGCTACAATTGATTGAAGCCCACAATTATTATAAAAATTTCTAACATTCTTCCACTTGGACAAAATCAATTGTAAAATTTTAATTTAAAAGAGAAAAGAAAAAAAAGTTATTTGAAAACGACTCTCGGGCTAAGGACTAATTCTTATAATGTGGCCATATTTTAAGAAAATACATGATCCAATGTGCGATATCTGAATATGACTCCATCCAACTAAAATCAAATAACATTAAATCATGCGGTGATTATACCCTTACCGATATAAGACCTTCCATGGTCACAAATGTTACTTGACTCCGTTGATTAGTTATTAGTGTGGAATGTAGCAAGAAAATAGCATGCCAATGTGATCTAACAACAGCCAAACTGCTATTTTCTCTGTCAGTCCTCAAATTTCTCTCAAATGCATTAAAGCAAGAGAAATTCCATGATTTATCAAAAAACCATCATATAATCAAATATGGTGTCGACTACGGACCCTGTAGTCCTTACAACACCATTATGTCTCAAACTCCCGTATAGTGTCAACCACAAACATGATGGTTCCAACGACACTGAGTTCCAAAATCATGCCTCAAACTTCAATATAGTGTCAACCACAGGCATGGTGGTCCTAACGACACTGAGTTCCAAAATCATGTCTCAACTCCAATATAGTGTCAACCACAGGCATGGTGGTCCCGACGACACTGAGTTCCAAAATATCTCACAATTGATAAACATAAATACAATACTCAATATATACAATAATAAAACTCAAATCATTATCAGTTGTTCAAAATAAAATTTGTCTGTTAAATAAACATCAATTATATCCAAAATAAATGGTTCAACGACAAGAAAATAATAAATGATTCAAACTTCCTCTAATCAACTAAATCAAAGGAATTTACAATGCCCATATTCTTCACATGTATTTATCATGGGCCTAAATCTTTTGGTTAGAGAGTCAGTCAATATTCTCAACAACTAAGTCATTCACTTAGGGTGTGCATGACAACCATTCTATTCTCGAGCAATGTTTCTGAAAAGAAACAATTCTTTTCTATTTCTGTGCCTTGGAACAGTTTCTGAGAAAAAAAATGTGTTTGATAACATGTTTCATTTTTATTCCGAGAATGAGAATTGTGTTTGATAACACAACAAATAATATAATAAAAAATAATTCTTATTAAATATAAATTTTTTTGGATCAACTCTTTCTTTTCCATATGGTGTGGTTGTGGTGGTGGCGGCGGCGGTACGGTAGTGGTGGTGGCAGTGACGTGGTGAAGATAGTGGTGGTGGTTGTGACGGCAGTGGCTGCGACAATGGCGGTGATAATGGTGGCAGCAGCGGTGGTAGTGGTGGGGATGGTGGTGGTGGAGGTGACGGCAGTGACAGCAACAATGGTGGTGGGTATGGTGGTTGGTGGCGGCAATAATGGTAGCAGTGACATGGTGGTGGTGGTTGTGAAGGCATCATGGTGGTGGTGGTGGCAGTGGCTGCGGCAGTGGTGGTAGGTGACAGTGGTGGTGATGATGGTGGCGATGGCTTGGTGATGGTAGTGGTGGCGTTGGTATAATGGTGGCGATGGTGGTGGTGATGACGGTAATGGTTGTGTGGTGGTGGTGGTTGGTGGCGGCGGCAGCGGCGATGGTGGTGAAGATGGTAGTGGTTGCGGCAATGGTAGTGGTGGCGTCGTGGCGGTGGTAGTG